TGTGTGTGTGTGTGTGTGTGTGTGTGTGTGTGTGTGTGTTTTTAACTTACTCTTGCTTCCGGATACGTTCCCGTTCTCGGGCGCTGCTCTCTGAGCGTACACTCTTCGCAAGCCTTCCACGGTCCATTACAATAAACTAAACACTGAAAAAAAATTGTTTGAATTATCTTTCACTTAATAAAACCAAACGAGAGACATTCACATTCAGCTTTCAAACCAAGATTAAAACCAGTATATAACTAACATTTGAAATGATACTGTTGCTAAACCAGTTAGTCGTTTCCAACGTTTTTTGTTTTGTTTTGTTTTGTTTTAAGSTAAAGTGTTTATGCTACATTTAAAGTTGAGTCCAAATAATTTTGTTGGGGTGAAAAAAAGTTTGGAAAGTTTCATGTTTATATCTTATCAAAGAAAATACAAATTTTTACTCCGTTTTTTAAAAGAATACAATTATTCCTGTAAAACATTTGCGCGGTGTGCATCCTGGAAATATCAACATTATCACGTACACTAATGCTAACATAGCAAAAACAATTCAAAAACAAAGTTATAGATTGTTTTATATTTAGAGGGGAAAAGTATTTTCTTACCAACAGAGCGTTTTAAAAGAACAAACCCACTGTCTTCCTTCAGCACGGGGGAAAAAGGTCTTGTCTTATCGGCACGGCGTTTTAAAAGACTGGAACAGCGGTTACCATGCAACCGTGAGAACCCTGAGAATAACAATCCCTGTCTGTCAGGCATCAGGCAGCCACCTTGGGGAAACACCTTTTATTTCTTCTTTTTAAAACAACGTTGTACACACACTGCTGTATAAAGTACCACAAATAGATACTTGAGTAAAAGTACGAGTATCTTACCAAAAAAATTACTTTGGTAAAAGTTATAGTTTCCTTCAGGAGTTTGTATTTATCCATTTATTTTTCAGGTGAGCGGACRGATGTTGGGTGTGTGGTCCTGTGTTTTGTTGGTGTATATTTAATATACTTCTAATCTCTATTTCAATCTTTCTAATTACTTCTCTCTGTGTTTTTCTCTCTGTCTCTATTTTCTCTTCACTTAAAAAAGTCACTGATGAAGAAACAAACTAATAATATTTATTTTCTTTTTCTACTGAATTGACAAAAAAGATGAACCCCCCCCCCAAAAAAAATATGCAGAAATTACTATATTGTATTCAAATAATTAATTATGTTAATTTTGAAATGTTGAATTATCGTATCAGCAGCTCAAAATTATCGTTTTTTGAGGAAAATTATCGTACACACCCAAGTTACACTCTAGAGAGGCTCAAATTTATAAATATATCCTGCTCAGCTCACAAGTGCTCTGTATTCAACAAACTGCACATTCTTTTGTTTATTATATAGTTAAAAAGCACTGTTGGGTGTCTGTTTTCTTACCAATTTCTTTCTTATCTGTTTCCTTATCAATGTATCATGTGACTGAAAGTTCTGAAATATAATAATAAAAAACTGAAGCACTTTTTTTGAGCAGTAGCAACAGAAAACCTGCTTTAGAGCAAAAACGCCTTAAAATTTTAAGGTTTTTCCTGTGAGCTAGAAAAGCTTTCTTCTTTCCAGCTGGGAAATCTCAATATTTAAATACTATTTGAAGTTTCTTCTTTATAATGACGTCAAAAATTATTCATTTAATTACATAAAATTAGGACTCAGACCAAGTCTTATTGTATTTTTGTAACAAACAAGACAAATTGGGTCATATTTTTAAGGACTTACTTATGATATCAGAATGATCCAGGTATCAAAATGTATCTGAAAATGTGATTAGGCCATCTTGACCAAATTTGACTTAATCCTCATTTCGCCACGATGGGACACATATTATGTCTATTGTTCACTTCAATAATCAGTGATAGTTTTAGTTTATTAATTTTTTTTGTTATTATTATTTATTTTATTATTATTACTTTTTTGCTGTGACGGGATTCACACAAAATTCATTTAAAAATAAATCTTAAGCAACTGTTTCCTTGTGTACCTGTGATGTGTTTTTACAAGCAGGTTTGCAGATTACTAAAACTTGTAAATTTCAGTAAGAAACCAATGCATGGAAACAAAGCCAGTTAACACAGATGCCTGCTCTGTAAAAGCCATGGAGACATAATTCTTAACCATTGATAAGAAAGATGTTCACACATTTTACACATTGTCAGGGTGCAGCAGCTCATCTGTC